TTCCCCATCCACTTGACTTCTCCCTTCAAGTGTCAAGCCAACTGGCAGCCCCTGTTCCCCCATCAAGCTATCCCAAATCTGAGACTTTCTACATGGTTCACTTGTCCTGTACTCTCCAATATGGCACCTGTCAGATATATTATCAGTTTGTTTTTGCAAGCCTAACTCCCACTGCACTGTGAGAAACTTGAGGGCAGAGTCCATGCTCTTGTCCTCGTATTTCCTGTAACCAAAATGCCTGGTGTCATAAACATTTGCTTAAGAATGAATAAATGAATGAGTGAATTGATGTAAATTCCACTATGTTTCTCTCATAAGACAGTTCAGATTGGGGTGAGTTTGGTCACTCTGACTTCAGGTCTTCACAATAATGGGCAGTATATTTACAGAACAGGCCAGCCACAGCAGCCCACAGGTAGGATTGTCCACATAATATTAATGCTTTTTCCTATTTCTCTCCTTGGCAGAGCTGTGTTCCTTCAGATGTACCATCAGTTCACTCTCAAGTTACTTCACCTTTCTACTCCCATTTACACATGCTCTTAGTTCACCAAAAGGAAAATTGGCAGGGCAAGGAATTTCCAGCTGCTCCTTCTCTGGTAGAGAAGAAAGTCAGAATTGTTTCCTTTAACTATGACTTTTAGAGTACTTCAAGAAAAAACATCTGCAGCCTTTTGATTTTCTGGCAGTTTTACTACATAATTTCTAAAGCCTCAGTTGAACATAGGTCGTGACTGAGCTGACATCCCAAGCCTACAGCAGTAAACCCAGTTCCATTTGGATTTGACAGCTGGTGTCTGCAGAGCCTGATAAATGATCTAAGGCTGGTGTTTTATTTCTTTCTATGAATTTCTGGTCTCCTCTGGCTTATAGAAGCAGCTCAGAAAAGTTCTCAAAGAGAGCTTATTCAAGCTGTCAAGCTTTGTTACCTGTTTTGAATGAAGCCAGTCAGCCCCATGAACTTTCTTGTTTCCTCTTATTTTTCATTCAGTGTCTTATCACAAGCGTTCAGGCTCTTGAAAAAACCTGAAGCTCAAATCAGAACTTGCTGCTCCTGAATCAAGCCTGTTTCAAAGTTCACTAAAATGCCTGCAGCTCATATACACTGCAGTTTAAAAAAAAATCAACTAAAACTGGAGACTGACCTGTGGAGACTGGCATGACATGGACACCTGAATGTGTTATTGTCTTGAGGGTTTTCAGTTGAGTGTTTTGTGTACTTACTGACTAAATTATTTTCCACCATAGATCCAAATGTGTAAATGGTTGGTCAATGATTTTTCACTCAGAGGGAAATTTATCGCACTAAATGCCCACAGGAGAAAGCAGGAAAGATCTAAAATTGACATCCTAACATCACAATTAAAAGAATTAGAGCAGAAAGAGCAAACAAATTCAAAAGCCAGCAGAAGACAAGAAATAACTAAGATCAGAGCAGAACTGAAGGAGATGGAGATGCAAAAACCCTTCAAAGAATCAATGAATCCAGGAGCTGGCTTTTTGAAAAGATCCACGAAATAGATAGATCACTAGCCAGTCTAATAAAGAATAAAAGAGAGATGAATCAAATTGACACAATAAAAAACAATAAAGGGGATTTTACCACTGATCCCACAGAAATACAAACTACCATCAGAGAAAACTATAAACACCTCTGCACAAATAAACTAGAAAATCTAGAAGAAATGGATACATTCCTGGACACATACACACTCCCAAGACTAAACCAGGAAGAAGCTGAATCCCTGAATAGACTAATAGCAAGTTCTGAAATTGAGACAGTAATTAATAGCCTACCAACCAAAAAAAGCCCAGACAGATTCACAGCCAAATTCTACCAGACGTACAAAGAGGAGCTGGTACAATTCCTTCTGAAACTATTCCAAACAATAGAAAAAGAGGGACTCCTCCCTAACTCATTTTATAGGGTTAGCATTATCCTGATACCAAAACCTGGCAGAGACACAACGAAAAAAGAAAATTTTAGACCAATATATCTGATGAACATCAATGCGAAAATCCTCAATAAAATACTGACAAACTTAATCCAGCAGCACTTCACTACATATATATTTCTTACTTTACATTAATACCTAGTTCCTTTCAATAATGAATACTGAATAATTACTTACTGTAAAGATATTTTTTAAAAAAACTAAGGTCAGAATGTCCCTGGTAATGAATTTCCAGGGTCTTTCAAATATGAGTCAATAGTAACAATATCAGAGCCATAAATTAAGCAAATGTCAAATTACCTTAGCCTTATGGTGAACAAATACCACCTTCACCTCCCAAGTCAGATCATTAGGAAGAATCAGAAAAACTCGGTTATTGACGGCTTTCAGTATCTTTGAAATACCCTCTCACACATGCCAGCTCTGCATCTTACACATCACCAGGTTGTAGTTTCTGACCCACCCTAGTCACTCCCTCTCATTCTTTGAAACTTTTAGTTCATTTCTCACTGTCACTCTCCAATGTAAGTTTTGCTGTATTTTTAGTGATTTCAGTGACCTCAAAGATGATCTTCCCTGCACCTTCATCTTCAAGTTTCTCAACCTTCTCTCCTCCACTGATCTTGTCTTCCGTACAACCCCCACCACTCTCTCCCAAAGGACACACCATGGACTATGTCAGTAACAATAACTGAACCCCTCTATAACCCCAATTTCAAGTGTTTCCCTTTTCAGCCACTTTCTATCCTTCCAACCACTGTCTCTAATGTTTTTGCTTCAAGAATTCTTTGGTCCCTCTGGATTATATACTTTATTGATCCTATCCACTTTTCACGGTCTCTCAGCTCCCTAATTTTAGCTTGTGGCTCATTTTCCTGACTCTAGTCCTCATTTTCCTTTCTATTCAGTTTAAATGCCAACTCCACCATTAAAAGAACTGCCCTACACAAACCCTCAGCATCTTTGCCCTCTCTTTATCACCTTCTTAAAAAAAAATTCCACCTGAACTTGCACAACTGAACGTGGCTGGAAGAAAAACACATAACTATGAACAGGTCTCATTTCAAATTTAATCACACTGATATTAAGCTGGTCCTTAAGGCTGTCTGGCCACCATGTTTCCTAGCCTTGGTCAGTTCACTCTTCTGCTGTCCTGTATGTCCTCTCTCCAAACTTCTAACACCTCCTTCTTATCCTCACTAACAACTGATGACATTGCTTCTGATTTCCACTGCGAGTATAAAAGCAATAGAAGAGAACTTCAACAAGATACCTCCCCCTCCACCACCCTATCAGTCACCCTGCTAGCCTCAAAGCCCATGTACTCTGCCTTCTTTCATGTACTCACTCTTTCCTTGTGTGCATCTCATGTCCTCAAGAGATCATTCCAGATATTCTTCTCTCTCCTTCTTCTGCATCATTTTTTCTTCTCAAAAGGATTTCTCCGTAAGTGTATAAATATGTGGTCATTTCTTCCGTGAGCAAAAGCAACCTCTCTGATCCCACTTGTCTGCTCAGTGCTACTCCATTTCTCTGCTTTTCTTTATAGCAATCATCATCCAAAAGAGTAGCCTTCAGCTTCTCTCTTTCCATTCTCCCAGGGGCCCATTCCAATTATGCTGTAAACCCTGCTATTCCACCAAAACTCACCTTGTGAAAGACATTAGTGACCTCCGTGTTGCTCAATCCGATGGTCAATTATTGGCCTTTATCTTGCTTGGTGCATGAGTAGCACTTGATAGGACTGGTCACTCCCTCCTCTTCAAAATGCTCACCTGGATGCCAGGACTCCATTCTCTTCTGATTTTTCTCCTGCTTTCCTGGTTTCTTTATTTTCAGTTTTCTTTGGCTCCTCCTCAGTTTCTCAATTTCTTAATGTTGGATTTTCTAGGTCTTAGACCATGTGCCTCTGTTTTCTATACTGTCTATATGCACACCCTTGGAGCTCTCATCCAGGATCCAGGCTTAAACAGCATCTACATGTTGATGACTCCTAAGTTCATATATCGAGCTCTCCTTCCTAAAGTCTATATTCATATGTCTATTTGCATACTTGATAATTTTTATTGCAGGCCTGATCGATACCTCAAATTTTGCATGTCCCAAATCAATCTCTCAATCTCCTTCCTCCCTAAATTTCTCTCTCATTCTTCTACCTCATTTACCCGTATTTCATCCTTTCTGTTGCTCAGGCAAAAAAAGTCCTTAGAGTCAATCTTTAACTTTCTCTTTTCTGTCATCTTCCACATAGAACCCAACAGAAAAGCCTTCCAGGTTTTACCTAGAAAGCATAGCCACAATCTGACCACTTCTCACTACTTCCTCAGTTATCATCCTGGTGTAGACTTAGGTCACAGAACAGTTCTGATTTGTGTTGAATGGCCAGAATGCCCAGGCTGCCTTTTCTTGGGATGTCTGGAGGACTCAAGCCTCCCCAAATCTCACACTCAGATTCCACGATTTCAGATTCATCTTTATGCTGTTAGAATTGCCATCTCTATTTAGTCCTCTTTAAATATTGACTGGGAGGAATAACAATTTTATTTATTAATGCATATTAAGGCACATGTGTTTGTGTGTATTTCACCTTGCCCCCCAAATATTTAGGGCAGATTGTAAAAGTATATAAAATGCATAATAATATAGAAAAGTGAGGAAATTAGGCAAAGGGAAAACAAGGATAAATAGAAAAAAATCAGGCAAATTGAGGGAGTGGTGAACTGAACCTATAAAATGCATGCTGTGCTGTGTAGTCCTTCATGCTTGCTAAATGGGAGTGGCACGTGTGTCCCTTCCTCTGAGGTGTGCTTTAGCATCAGGTTGCCTTATGCTTGATGGGCCCCTATAAGGAATTGTGAACACAGTGGCTCCTTGGAAGAGCGTCTTGAGGGGAAGAGGAAGCCTTGAAGGAGAAGTGGGGAATACTGGCCAGGAAGCCTCCTCCTCATCTGAGACCAGGTCCTGGCCTGCACTACAATCACTCCCTGGTGCCCTCCCAGTTTCCCATCTTCCAGCCCACCCCCACACCACACCCTAAGTACTTACCAAGACCCAAGCAAGAAACTCTGAGTCCTGATTTTCCAAGATTCCTATAATAAAAACAAAGCAACACTTGGTCATCGTTTCCTCCAGTGAAACTGTACATACTTAAGTGGACATTGTATCTCACTTTTGGCATTATTCCTGATGAGTCATGGTAGAGACAGAGCCACAGATGCAGACATATTGTCTTGGGACGAGTCTCCCTTGTGTGACCACTCAGGCACCAGGAAGCTCAAAATCTGCTCAGTTGCAGCTCGGAACAAAATGTCCCCCACAGAATATAGCTTTTCAGTCCCAAATTGTCATCTTTATTGACTTGTTTACACAGTTATTGGCTTTATCTCTCCTTCTAGAATGTGAGTTTCTTAAGGGCAAATTTCTTTACCTTATTCACCAACCATTCATTCACTATTTACCAACAGAGCCTGACATATAGTAGACCCTTAATACATATTTCTGACTTATTGACTAACAAACTGACTTCTAAAACAGAATATTACTTCTAATGGATGTGAATTATTACAATAACAAATACAAAACTGTCTTTTAGGTTATTTTAACTATATCCTATATTTAACATTGTAATACATAAATATGTATTTAACTATATTATATATAAGTGTGTGTATATATGTATATATATTTAATTCAAGATCACATAAAATTACCACAGAAACATCAGATAGTTCTTTAAAATGGTTCTTTTTTTTTCTTGACATCCTGTTTTTATCCCCAAAAGTTTAAAGAAAATAAATATATTTTTGCTTTCTAAATAAGGATAGAACTAGGAGCTCTAGTATTTATTTGGCTATAAGTCTTTGTGGAAATCCAGACTCAACCCATTTTTCTGTCTTCTGACTCGCAGATTGTCAGAGAAGAAAACAAATTCTCAGAGACAGGATGCTTCATAGCATTAGTGTAAGGGTGAGAAGTGAGCAGGTGAAGCTGAGATAACTGTAATGTTATAGAAAAGTGCATCCCTTATTCTCTGACAAGAGGCTCTCATAAAAGTACAATTTCCCCTTTTGCTTCCACACCAAAGGAAACAACACAAATTAAACTTCCAAATCAGTGCCACAGCTCAACTATCCCAGGTTCTTCCTTAATTTGTCATCAGTTTTGATTTCTTTAGACTTAGCAATTAGTGCTCTCATGTTTGCATCGCATGTTTTCCCTCTGTTTATTAACGTTGTCTGTAAAATGCCACCCAAGCAACACATTTAATTGCACAGCATAGTAAAAATTCATCAAAATGCAGAGTTGAAAGACCTGGGCTTTTGACCCCTTGTCACAGCTAGTTGGGTGAACTTGTGGAAATTGCTCCCTTTTGTTCTGGGGTTCAGTCTCTTCATTCAGAAGATGAAGTGTTGAAGTCTATGCCATTTGCCTAGCATCACTGTCTGTAGGGCCAGAACGTGAGAATGTGTGCTAAAGTGTTACACTGTAAACAAATGCAGGGCATAGTGATTTCTGGTTCTTTCTGACTCCTACCCTCCAACAGACAGGGTGCTAAATTTTCCCATATGAACTGGATATGTCCAACTGTTGTATAAAGATGTATTTGGAAAATATTTGGAATCACAAAATAGAATAAAAATAATTGGACAGCTCCAGTGAGAATAATTTGTATAAGAAATTGTTCATTCAGTAATTTTTCAGAAATCAATAGATGTACAGCCAGAAGACCTGTCTGGTAGTCCAAAAGTCTACTGATTTTAAATGGTAGGAATCTAGAGCAAATGCTATATTGTGGGGAGAATTTTTTTTTTAAAGTCATGGAGATACAGAGAAGAACAAGGCATGGTCCTCTACCCTCAAGGAGCCTAGAGTCCAGTGAGGGACACAGAAGAACAAACATGTTATTCTGGTAACATGGGATACGTCCTCCCATGGAGATCTTTGGGAGCACATGAGGTGGGGGCTTCCTCAGGCTTATATCTGCATAATTTTGTGGTTATCATGGAGAAAAGGATCTAGATAAGGGTTTTCATGTATTTTTAGTATCTTTCGGTGACTGAAAACAGTAGGGAGAAGTGACTTGCAGAAACCTCTGCAGAGCAAGACAGTTCTAAGGCTACGTCTTCATAATTCAGAGACTTTTCTAACTCAAATAAGGCAAAGTTATATCACTGGGAACTTAGGAACATCTCAGCACCCAAAATGGGGGTACTTGTCCTATTTTCCTTATGGCAGCAACTTAAGATAATGATCACTCTGTTATGGATTTCAAAGACCAAACTTGAGAACCGTCAGCAAAAACAAACTGCAAACTAGCAAGTAGTAATGGCCTATTTTCTTTCCACTGTTGTTTAAACACCCAAGATGGCTTTTCTGGAATGAAAGCCTTACAAGATTTTTAAATGTAAGAAAACTTCAATTATAGACTATTGCTGCTATAGTGGCGATAGGTCCTCATTTTGAGCCTTGGTATTTTTGTCTCCCTGAACTCTTTAATACCTTTAATTCTTTTTCTAAATATCTTCATTCTCTAGAGAGAACAGTTAAGAAGTTTGGGTGGTCACTTTTAAAGTGAGAGGCATTTTCTGTGCATGAGATATATCTGGGTCTATATGTACATTGCCCTAACTTTGTCCAGATGTAAGTTTCTTTGTGAGACGTGTACCACTTAAGGCACTCCCAACACAGGATGGTGCCACTAAGTTTGCAGCTGGAGAAGGTAGGAGGAACTAGCTACCTCCAATTCAGGGCATGAAATCCCAACATGATTTCTGCTATTCCAAATGGCACACCTGCATCCTCCTGTCTTTATCCATGTTCGTGCAGTACTGAGTGAAGATGTAGCTATTGTCTAGTTATTCTAAGCCACTTAACATCTGTTGTATAATAGAAGCCCAAATACTTGACACATTTGATCTAATGAGTTCAGTAGCTTGTTTGTGTGGCTTTGTGCAACAAAACAACTTTTTTTTTTTGAGACGGAGTCTTGCTCTGTCACCAAGCTGGAGTGCAGTGGTGCAATCTCGGCTCACTGCAACCTCTGCCTCCTGGGTTCAAGTGATTCTTCCGCCTCAGCCTCCCGAGTATCTAGGACCACAGGCGCATGCCACCACGCCCGGCTAATTTTTTTGTATTTTTAGTAGAGACGGTGTTTCACCGTGTTAGCCAGGATGGTCTTGATCTCTTGACCTTGTGATCCGCCCACCTCGGCCTCCCAAAGAACAAAACAACTTTATATAAGATTTTCTATTTCTTAATTCCTCAGTGGTCCCATAAGTGAGGCTACATAAAGATTCTGTAAGCACAAAAAATTGCCAATTAGATTAAATTATTTTTCCATTTAATTCAAAATTGTTTCACTGCACAGGTTTAACTATTTTATCTATGTCAGATATACCAGAAACAAGTCTCACTATGCTCATTTTTAGTATCTGCTCCTGTTCAACTCAAAAGCTCCTCTTTCTCAGGTGAACCTGAACTGCTCTGCTGCTAATATTAGAAATGAATGACATCAATGTGGAGGCACAGAACACTTAGTCTTGTGAGTCAAATTTTGGAAATCATAAAGCATCAGTAAAGATTTATCTGGAAAAGGGATATAGCTTCTTGAGAGCTCAAAGGTTGTGATTCCCCTTTCTTTCTGAAGGCAGACTCTCCACTCAGTGAATACATGGCTGACCTTATTTCAGGACAATGATTTTTTCCATGGCAGAGGCACTGAATGTAATTCCCAGTCTCATTTTATGGAGCATCCACCAGGCTCTTTTTGCTTTTAAGGAAATAGTGGAGTAGTGAGAACTGAAATCAATCATCACCCAGGCCGAGTATTGTAGGCCACTCTGATGCTCACTGTTGCTTTAGAAGTCAAAGAGGCTAAAAGCCGATTAGTAACCGAAATGTGTTGTTTTAAATGGCTTGTTTCGCAATGTGTGTATCTTAGACCTTATTCACAGTTTTAAACAGCTAAGAAAAGTAGCTTGCAAAAGTATGTGCTTTGCATTTGACCAAGAAAGAAGCATATGCATGGGCAAAATCCCTGATTTAAAGGTTGCCACAACAGGGACAGCTGGAAAGCATATGCAAGACGCTCCAGCAGCTGTGTCAGACTAGCAGAAACAAGCTGGGTTTGACCTGGTTTTCATGCGGTTAGAGAATTACATCATTTGCTGTCTCACTCTATTTGAACATCTTTCTGATCCTTCTAAATCACACTAGGCCTTATCTGGAAGTTGCTAATTGAATATGAGATATCGGTTTGGGTTTTTTTTTTTTTTTTTAAGAAATGCACATTTAATAATGTACACGAGCAGAAATCATGTCCATTTGCCAGCCAGCTGATTTTGATAGTTACAAGGTAACATACATTTTGACAGCCATGAAGGTGGCTACAAATAGTATTAAATAACATTTTCTTATGAGGGCACTGTTCATCACTGTTGGTCAGTAAATAATGACTCATTTGGGAATCACCAGGCACATAAATGATTTAGCCAGGCATTTTGATGACAGACATTGACGGGTAGCACCATAAAAGTTTTATTCTTACCTTTGTTTTTTAATAGTGACAAAATAGAATAGGATTCTTCCAGATTATTTAATTTAAAATTTTAGGTCATTTGTCAGTTTCAAATTCCAACTAGGTCCTTATTCATTTTCTTTGGACATGTAAAACACCTGCTGATTTGTGTCTTTCCAGAAAAGTCTAGAGGTGTGTGTGGAAAAGAGACTTTCATAATTAATTAATTAATTAGGTCAAAGGAGATGTACCAAATTTTACCTATGTGTCAGGCCTCAGACTAGGCTTTGAGCCTGGGCTGAGTGGCAGATAGTTGCTACTCTCATGGAGCTTATGTCATAGAGGCGAGAAAGATATTAAATGGATTAATTATTTGATTATAATATTAAATAAAAGGACAGTAGGCCCTAAATACAAAATTGGGACCCCGACAAAGCTGACCCAATCTGGGTAGTTAGGAAAAGCTTCTCTAGGGAAGTAATATTTAAACTGAGATCCAAAGGAAGAGCAGGAAGAAACTTAGTGAAGAGAACAGGGATCAGCACTTCAAACAGAGTGAATAGCATGTACAAA